GGGTTATTCTAATTTGATAATTTTTGAGAGTTATGATCTGATTCATTTAATTATAAGATTGATATAATTGTCAGCAAATGTAAATGAATAAGTCAGTTAACTTGTTTACAGGTCATTTAGTTGGCAATTTATTAACGATATAACAACAATGTCTTACTCATTTTTCAATAATTTGTAAACAATCACTTAGAGGATATGAATATATATAAATGCAGAAATAGATGCAAACGGAACAGAAACCATTAATAATGGCAATAATTATTATTATAGTAATAAACGAAAGCCATTCAGTACTACAAACTGACAAGTGTATTGTGAATGAGTCATTCTAATAAATCATAACAATGACCGCTAATTGAGTAAATAAAGTAGGTTGAATAAGTGAGTTAGCATTTAAGGAAGGCAAGAAAGAGTGAGTAGTGAGTGATTCTACACGTTTACATTAATCTGTAAAATGGATAAACAGACTGCATTGTATGCGATGCCTTTTTCTGCATATATCGACCATCACAACATATCTGGTCAATAAGTAGGCGAATCAATCACATGTATATCATCCTGTGATGATATAATTAATTATTGGAGCTTAGTAATTTGTAAATTACCTATGATTACACATGCACACGGACGTGCATACATGTGTGTATATGTGCATTTTCTGGTATGTATTTAGTCCATTTAATGCAGAATATTAATAGTTTATTTAATACATGCAGTCAACAATAACAATGATAGTAATAGTAGTGGTAATAATAATAGTAATAATCGTCATAATAATTACTATCCTCGATAGTCTTATCATTAAGGCAGAGAATGAATATGATTGGTCAAATCAAAAATTGATTATCATTTATTTACAAAATGCATACAGACATACAGGTAAGTACGCACTTGCCAACATCCACCCAGAGCAGTACAACAACAACAATAACATATCAACATATGGTGTGTAATTGACCAATCTTTAAAAGGAATATTATTTTCGAAAACTACATAGAGATATTCTATCACACAAACCCAACCAAAAAAATGAGAGAGATAATACATTTGTTACTATTTTGCGATCTAAATAATAATAACAATAAATGTATAGTTCATACGAAAGACTGTTCTTGTTACGAGAATAACTTATCCTTTAACAATGTGTGTGTCTACAGGAGAACAAAAGATTCGTACACCTTTACACCTTTTGCTAAAGCAAAATAAAAAACATCCAATAATAGAAGTAAGAAAGAGAAATATATGAATGAAGCAAATTTAAAAAGTATCTACACCACTGAAATCCCTGCCCACCCACAGTCTCCATGTGAAGTAATAATGCTACCCAGATATCCTATATAAGCGTATTCGTAAACCACGCTATAAACTAAACTCTATATGCAAAAGCTTATAATACGGTTTGTGGGGCTGTGGCTTATTGACCTAACTAGGGACTCGACTTTCAATCAGTAGTAAGCCATAGGTTCGAACCTATCACTAACATCATTAGTGATCCATTGTCAGCTGCATGCAATCACATTTTATGCCAAAACAGAAATAACTACAGTGAGGTTTCAACTCGAGATCGGATGCTTAAGGAACACATTACTGCTGACTATCAACCAATTCTTTATAGACTAAACTTTTAAACCCTCACCTGACATCTTCTGGAGAATGAAAGCAAACAGAGAGTAATGTAAGTTCGTACATAAAATATATAGCCTATAACAATATTACACAGATCTTATTGGAATTGTCTAGTCAGGATGAAAAATAATGCCCTTATATCACCTCAGCTTAGTCGGTGACCCGATGATAGAATGCTCGTCAGCCAGGCAGATGACCTAGGACTCGACTCCCCGACAACGGACACACTTCGAAACCTCACCGAGCTAGTAATAAGTCCAGAGAAGAAGGGAAGGTGGGACTTGAAGCCAGTAACCCCAACCCGAAAAAAGCACTACCACTACTGAAACATCAAAGCTTGAAACCCTATCTTCTACTCGAAATGCAAGGAATGAGAAAGAAAGTCAACCACGCAACTTGAAACAACAGCCACACACTTCATAGATTAAGTGTAATTCCTTAGTCTGACCGACGGCTGCTACATAGACGTAGTGGTCAGGCAGGCATATCTCAATAACCCAACGAACTACGCTGGCCGGGAGGAATGTTCCTGCAAGTCCAACCATGGTAGAAAAGTCGTTTGGATAGCTGTTACACTAAAAGCAGTTACTCTCATAGTTTAAAATGTTCACACTACGTGGGGGATCTGTGAGTAAATTCGTTCTGCTGGCGAATGGGGATGTAAACTAAGGTGTTACCTTCAGATGACCAGCATCTCAGCTATGCCGAGTCTCTGCTCTGGAGAGGGAAGAGGGGGAAAGAAGTTTGACCCAAAAAATGCCCGTCCTAAGTTATCTTGCGACAGTAAGATAGTACAGAAGCAGGTCGAAAACCAATTTAAACAGGCAGTGTGATCAGCCTCAAGCAGCTGTCCACTGAACTCTACAGTCATGCAACACTCATGCTCTTTCTGTTCCAAGTGTCCCCAGAAAAACTCAACTTCTATTTTGCCGGCAGTTGGGAAGTGACAATCGCCTACACAATTCTAAAAGCACATAGAACCGTCTCCCACTTAGTCTGACCAGGTGACATCAGTTAACAAATAAATGATTCAACAAACTGATTTTATTGCTCAGAATAGTCACATTAGATCTTTACACCATGACACATTCGCCATACGTTAAATTATCTGAAATGATGTACACAGGAACGCCACAACTTATCTACTTATCCAACACACCCTAGACTACAACATTTTGTATTTTAGGTAGAAATTAATTAGAAAGGCACACATATTCACACACGCACATACCACACGTTAGCCTTGAAATAAACTCATATAATACACATCATATGTGTTTTACGAGATACTTGAGAACATTTATCAGGTAATGAGTACTGAAGTTTATAATAGATAGAGTACTAGACTTCTGACATGAAAATTGTCCGACAGTATTCAATTACAGATGATAGCTATAAGTATTCAAGGACAACTAACACTGATCAATGCAGACAATATGCATTGTGACACTCTAACAAAAAAGCTTTCTCATGATATCACGTATGACCTCAAGAAATCAAGAAAGTAATAATGATATAATACAGAATGTGAAACGTAACACCAAAAAGCATATCGGACCCAGTTGGTTTACTTTACAATAGCAGAGTAGGCATTATTAAGGAGAAAGATAAGAAAGTCAGTAGGAGTGAAAATACCACACCAGAAAACAGGAAGTGAGGATTCTTTCAAGAATGATGGAAAGTGAATGCAATTCCACTAAAGCGATTCAAATATCTTTGAACATTGATTCTCAGTATCTTAAGACCTCATACAGTCAATGGATTACATGGATTGATTGTATGCCCTATCATTTCCTTGCTTATTCGAATCAACATTAAATGCATCACTATGCATAACACATATTTAGCCCTTTACTTTAATGCCACAGGAAAAGAATTCACTATTGATCGAGAGACGCTCGGAGAAATGAATAAAGACAGAGAACTCTTTGCAGACTTCTGTGCCTTTAAAGACTTAGTGATTGGTTGCAGCATATACAAAAACAAGAATACACACAAGGTAATATGGGTTTCAGATGGACATACTGATGAACAGATAGACTTCATCTTACTCCCAAGAAAATGGAGTCTACTGGACGAAAGGGAGATGAGGGCAGTACGTGTAGATTTAGACTGCATAGGAGGCAAAAATAATGAGGGTACCCGACTAACAAACAACAATCACAATCATTGGTAGAAATCTAAAGGACGTCATCACTCCCAACTTAACTGCACAGTAGTGTTTCAACTACAAGTGTCACGGAAGAGGATGTCAAAGCCAGTCAGGATCGGATCGGAAAAGCAAGACGGGTGTTCATTACTTTGAATTTAGTGTGAGGATCTATTATATCACTCAGTGTGGGGAAACAGATCATAAATTTTAACACTAATCTCAAATCAGAACTCTTCTATGGCTCAAATACTTGGTGCGCGCATCACGAATAGCATTTCCAACTTTCATCAACATCTGTCTTTACTTAGCCCTGAAAATCTGACGGCCGGTCGGAAAAGATAAGCATCTAGGTACTCTGGCAGTGCAGCGAACCAGCCAACAAATATACAGAAGGAATTATAGACAGACTGAACAAACACTGAGGACACATTCAAGTAATTCCACACGCCAGACTATCGACTGGAATGCAATGAGAAACAAGTTGGGTGTCTGAGGGTGACACGGAAGAAATTATGTAACTAGGAAATGAAAGCTTGTTGGAAGTCGTGGAACCAAATAAAGAAGACATTAAAGAACAGAATAAAATGGAGAATGTGCTGCTGAGGCCCTACAACATCCCACTCGTGACGCAAGAAACGAGTTATAATAATAATATATTCCTACCAAAAAGCAATTTTTAACTAACACACATCTGAAGAGAAATCAACAAAAGTGGTCTGTTGCACACTCCTGGTCAAGCTGTATATATATGAAGGAGATTACTACTACCTTTAAATACAATAATGATTATATAAGTTCAAGCTGTGAAAACCACCGAGAGCACAGTATTATTTCAATGAGCTGCACTATCAATTTCTTTGGTGGTCACTTGTATTCCTATTTATTACCAAATTGTAAGAGCAGTTGAAACATTGTCTGTATCACACCACTACAAAATGCTTTCCATTCATATGTAATTATCATACAATCACAGAAAGATCAATCAATAATTAAATAGCGTTACACATCAAAATAAATAAACAAAACTTATTATTTCTTCAATTTTAACGTTCACTGGCCTTTTTTTCCAACTGTAAAACAGGCCTTATTATCAATATTACCGAGATGGTAACATCAAAAAATATGCTCAGAAATAAATCCAGAAGTTGTATAAACATTAATTTATCCCAAACTTCAAACAAATATTGATTTCAACGAAGATATATAAAAACACTTTATTCACCTCAACAGATCGTACATTATCCGAAGCAACACGTCCACTTCCGCATACACCACGAACAGGATGACCTGACAAATTAGTGGTTTGTGGTAGGTGTTGTTGCATCGACACAGTCGGAGCAGAGTTACGTGAACCACGCTGGTATGAATCAACAGGGGATGTATTAGCACAAAACTGAAAGAAAGGAAATATGAAAGTAGTTATATTAATATACGTGTAAAACTTGGGCACTGTGGTATTAAGTAATTCCAAATTCGAAGCTTCAGTTTCAAAGTCGTGTGATTATAATTGATGTGATTGTGAACAATAAATTTTGTTCGAAACGTGATCCAGTAAATAATACTGTTCCACTGTGTGATACATCTAATAAACAAACCAATATGAAAAGTACTGTCAGCAAACATTTACCATAAAAAAATAAAGTTTGAAAAATACCATTATGAGATATCTGACAAACTATTCAAGGTATAGTGCGCAGCTGTGTAGTTTATACAAATCATAGACACTGAAAAAAGATCTGTAGGGGATTTCAGCTTCAGGTATCTAATTATTGTCAACTTGAAAACATTGTTGAGTCGAGTGCACAAATCTGTATATTTTCACCGAAATTTATTATTTTACAACAATTCGGATAATCTATAATTCCATAAGACTCATGATCTATTGACATCTCAAGCCGTTTGAATTCACGGAGTGCCGACAAAGCATACCGCATCAACCAAGGCACTCTACTAGAACTCATGCAGACATGTAAGAGATTACGAAGAGTTGTCATCTGAAATGATAATCAGTAATGCCTGTCTAGGATGCCCACTATTTACATTATTGTTGAATTTCACCATAGATGTACAAATACAACTGACTTCAGCTAACTTTAGATACCTGTTACCTCGGAACGACGTCAGAGTATGTGCGTGGAACTGTTCTCCTAGCCACAGTCACTGGCAAAATGCATATCCTTCTAAGACTTTTCGGCAGAAATCTTCGAATGTTTGGCCTGTGAATCGCTCCTTTCAAATGTAAAGTGATATTGCTATAGTGAACTAAATCTACTCCTAGCTCAAAGACAGAAAGTGAAGTGGTACAGAATGTTGATCTGTCCATTTTCGACATAGAACTTTGCACATATGTGCGGCAGTTCAAGTCGCCACACTCCATGTATTACACAAAGCAAGAGAAGAAAGTAGAAGAAATGCATAATAGAGGCAGTAAACAGAGGTGTGAGACAAAGGAATAGTAATAACGAAGAACACTAGAGTTCCATTGGAAATTATAAGTCACAAGGAGTGGTTGCATCTGCACCAGCCATTGAGAACGATTTTGAGCTACATCACCAAATGTTTCCAGTCATTGGTTTTTACCGTCCCAAGGACCCAAAACAGGAAGTCTACACCTTCCTATGTGGCTTAAATTAACTGCTGTGGATTTCATTGACTGGTGCCATGTTTTGGTTTGATCGCCGATAGCTCTTTTCCAGCCTGACCCTATGTTAGCTAACATTGCCCATGGAGGAAGGCGATGGCTAGGCATACGTAACACAAGTCCTAACCATCTCAGTCGATGCAATTTCACAGCCTCGTCGATTGATTTTCCCTCTTTATCTAGAACTCGACGCCTAACCTCAATATTGCTCACCTTATTATACCACTTCACACGGGAGATAGAACGCAGCCACCTATGATCGAAGACAGCTAGTCTTTTCATGCTTTCCACTCTTAATGGCCAGGTCTCACTCACGGCCATAAAGGAGGAAGGAGCGGACCGCTGAGCAGTACACCCACCTTATGGTCGATAGCCAGATATCACGTCTACGCCAGAGACGGCGTAAACTGGCATATGCGAAACTAGCCCTCTGTATCCGTGCTGAGATTTCGTCAGAGATCAACCCGTTGGGGCTGATGGTACTTTCCAAGTAAGTGAGGCGGTCAACGTGCTCTACCGCTTCACTCCCTATTTCTTATCTAGGAGTCGGTGTAGTCCAGTCCTGTAACATCATCTTGCATTTGGCGGGAGCGAATCGCATGCCAAACATTCGTAGATTGCAGCTCAAGGTGTTCAAAAGACTACATTTTGTCAGCGTCCTCGCCTAGAAGGACTATATCATCTGCATATTCTAAGTTGACAAGATTATTCCTTGGTAGCAAGTCAATTCCTGAGAGGGCGGTGGCATACTACCACTGGTATGAAGAAGGTATGAGATCAAAAAGGGAATAGAAACAGACAAACATGAGCTCGTGAATAAAGAAAATAATACGGATTTTAGAGTATTATAAGAACTGAATGAACTGGATTCTTTTCATACGCTTTAAAGACAGTCTCCATCATTAGTTACGAACACTCATTATTCATATTTCAGAAACCACACAAGTAAACGACTTACAACTCTCAACATGTCTCAGATCAACAACCGTAGGACTCATGGATTGGTGCCATATTCTTTAACTTGATCTCACTTTAAACAATATCGTTTGCTCAGGAAGGAGGTAACTGGGCGTATAGATGATCCAGAAACTAAATAATCGACTTAACTTTCTCAATTAACACTATCTTACCTTGTGGTTCCATATGCTGTGAGTAGTGAAAAAAGATAGTTACGACATAAAATTATTATCTGCTCATTTCTTCTACTCCTAGTACCCAAGTTTCACAGTTTTAAAGAAGTGCAATTGAAACACTAGGCAATATACAAACCTTTAATGTTAGGTAGCTGTACACATCTCGTAGATACAGGATGGCAAGTGCTAAATGGAGCGTATTTTTGTGCTGGGTTTAATGAAACTTCTACAATAAGTCCAGAAGTTAACACCAATTCTTCTGTTCCTTAAATTTTCGGCCATTTTAGTACTGTTCCGTATTAATTCACTTATTTCATGTTTTTTTCAGATGTGGCAACTGGAGGCGATACATGCCTGTAAAATTCTATACTAATCAATCAGTCAGTGTGTCTGAAGCATTTAACTTATTGAATGACTTCTGGAATGTATCTGTCTGAAATGAAATCATGTATGCTCACTTCGTATTTTTGATGATCAAAAAGCCACAGTGTTGTCTTTAATGCTCACATTTAAAAGATAAAATAACCAGTATATTTTGCTTAATAGTTAGTCAACACAGATACATATGAAGAAGTATAAGTGGAAATGTGAGTATAAAAACATCATTACTTCAGACTAAATGACTTCATTTCACTTCAATGTAAAGGAATTAACGAAAATAACCATTAATCGTAAATGCAGTTGCAGACCTTTTCTTCATAAGACGTGCATTCCATAGGCATGGCATTTATCAAACCTGCTAACACCTGCAACTGAAAACATTAGCTACTGTTGACTGAAAAATGCATGATAGATGGAATTCCTCCCACGGTGAAAATGAGTTGATCACTAGTTCATGATTAACCAGAAGGGGCTAAATGCACCAACGATCGTATTTTCCCCATTACTTGAAGCAAACTAAGCATTGAAATCGCCTGCTAGAGAGGTGCTCTGCAAAGTTTGTGAAAACTTCGAAAATTCTTTATAAAATTATCCCAAGCGGAAGTTTTTTCTATGCACCAGGCTATCAGTCACACTTATTGTGTGATGATGCCTGGTGATACCACCCAGTTGCTCGAGCTGAATTAGGTGGAACGAGGTTACCAATCACCTCATAACATTCGAAAATCATCATGCAACACGAATCGCCATGGCTGAAACATGCTATAGCATGACACTTTAGTAGCTTTCACAACGAGTGCGTTTAGAAAATTCGGATATGTATTTTTCGTTTACTTGAGTGCAAAACTAAGTACACTACGAAGATTCAAGTATTATGCAAGAAGCAAAATAATATAATAATAGTAGTGAAGTAGAGAGAGGAAGAAAAGGAAATGAGATAACAAAATTATCTGGAAAAAGGATGTAAAGGATATAAAATTTGCCTTGGCAATGTTAACTGGCATAGGATAGATCAGGTTGGAAAAGAGCTAGTGGTGGTGGCCAAACGAAAACGGCTTCATCAATCAATGAAATCCACAATAGTTAAAGCCAGTCACATAGGAAGGTGTAGACTACTGTGTGGTTAGGATCCTCATGATGGCAAGAACCAATAACGGTTGGAGACAATCGGTGATATGGTTCAAATTCGTCCTTAATGGCTGGCGTAGATGCATCCACTCTTTGTGACTTATAATATCCATCGGAATCCTATGGTTCTTCCGCATTACCATACTTTTTCCTCACATCTGTTTATTATCTCTGTTTTCAATCTCTCTGCTCTCTCCTCTTGCTTTGTGATATATATATATATATATATATATATATACCCTACTTTGCTTCAGTTAAGAATTTCTCAAAAGTGTTGACGTAAAATCGATGATAAAGTGACAGCCCTCAAGTACTACAGATTGTTCATTATGTGTCGGTATTGTATTACTCAGTTCAAAAACATATTTCCACTCCAATGATCAACTACTATCACAGTATACACCAACAGAGACGGGGCAAAAAACGTACAACATAGGAAGGAAGCAAACAATGCAGTGTACTACACTCTTTAGAAAGACTTCAACACCAACAAGTGGTGAGGTGAATTACTAGGCTAATTTCTTTCTGTCTTGAAGAATCGCGACATAATGTGCTCAGTTGGGATTCAAAAAGTTCAATAATGTAAAACAGAAACATGCTAAGACATCCTATATGCATAAATGAAACACATTTGTAGGAATCCGTTCCCTCACTCACATTCAACGGATACACCCCAACCAGACATGATTTCTCATAGAAATCCCTGAAAATCTATCTTAAAATCAGTTATGGACCGTGGGGATAGCTACAAAACACTGTACATACTTACTGTACATACTGACTGATAGAATTCAGTCTGCACCAAAGAGAGGACTAGACGCATCACACTAGTTACTAGTGTCAAATCAAAATACTGCACATACTTAATAAATGAGATTGTCAGATCATAATATGCTCATACTTGTAGTCTTCCTATAATATGAAAAGTGACCTTAGTTGTTCTGAGAGCAGTGATACAAAAATGGGAGAAATAGGTTAAATATCAAGCACGATGACGGAAAACATATGAAAAACAAGTCGTAACATGTACATGAAGAAATTTATCAAAATAGCTAAACAATATATAAAATGTATTACCTGAGAACTTGCCATAGGTGACAAAGCACCATTTGTGTACTGTGATGAACTGTTTCCACCACCACTACTAGGATTGCTACGACACGAACCATCTGTAGCTACAACTAATGATGAATTCGAATTTACAGCATAAGCAGGTGTTGTTTCTACAGAGTAACTGGCCTGTTGTTGTAAATGCTGCTCCTGTGGTGGATATATGTTATGCGTTGTGCCAGTAATATTACCACGATTATTTGGACTATGGTCAATAGTGTGCGTTGTATTTTGAGGCGGATGAGAGTTTTCAAGCATTCGGTTGGAATGTCCATTTGTAAAAGTTTGTTTGGCGGTTATAAGTTGTTTATGCTCAAGAGCGGATAGTTCAGCTTCAGTCTGAGCATGAAAAGCTGCAGCCAATGGCCCAACAATTCGTCTTTCAGGTATATCCGCTTGTAACAATTTATCTAACATGAACGAGATAAAATGGTGGATATCATCATTTAATTGTTGGTTTTTTTTGTGAAATTATATATATATATATATATATATATATATATATAGTATAAAAAAGGAGACATCAAGATCCTAATGCATAAATCACGTAAACTACAATTAGTAAGTAAATAAATATGAATCAACTTGATGTTATTTGGTGGATGGTGGCTAGCAGTGGCACACAGAATACGCATTTTGTCCTCTGTGGGACTAGTCATCTAGATGTACCTGTAATCCTCAGAGTGAGTGATAAAGTTCTCACTGAGATTCAGGGACAGCACCAGCCATTTTTAACGCCAAAGTGTTATTCGTTGGGCCACTGCTAGTCAACATCCACCAAACAATGTAATGTTAAGCCTCGGACATCGCCGAGGCGTCTGTAAACCCAGGAGCCAACATGTCACAGGAGAAACCTAACATTCCAGTCTAATATAATCAATCAGCGGAAAATGCAAAATTAACTTAAATGAATTAACTTGGTCACCATTTTAGAATTATATTCTAATAAAAATATTAGGAGAAACCAACTAAATTTGAGCGAGAAAAGAAAAAGAAGCTCAACAAAGGCAACTTTCCGGCGATTCCTAAAAAACGTATATCTTTGCTCAGCTTCTTGTTCTTCTCTCTTCAGTACCCTAATGGGTATTTCCTACTAACTGAAAAACTCAGTAAAGACTGATAGTTTGCATAATTATTACAACGAAGGTGAAGCACAGCACCATAGTTTCAATGTCTAAATCTTATCCACAATTCTTGTTCCATAAGAAGTCTGAGCTATAACATACAACGGCTTAATAAGGTTTTAAATCATCAGAACGTTAGGACGCGTGTTACGGATAACAAGCCACTAACTTCCTTGTCCAGCAATCTTAGCTGACATAGGATTAGTTTGGAAGAGAGTTAAGGGTGGTCAAATCGAAAGATCGTATCAATCCTTGAAATATTTGACTGTTTGTTTGAGCCACGTAGGGAGATGTGAACAGCTTGGTGACGACCCTCGAGACGTTGATGACCAATGGCTGAAAACTGTTAGTGACATAGTTCGAAATCGTCCTCAGTAATGCAGATGCATCTACTAGTTACGAGCTCCTAAGAGCCATTCTTATTCTTTTCCCCCACATTTTCATTCATTGTAGTTCCTTTGCTTTTTCCCTCCATATTTATGTGCTTACAAAGTGTGGCAGCTTGAATCGCTCCACTTCCACGGAAAGTTCCATCTTAGGATTCAGCCAAAAGGCCAAAATAAAAGCCCATTTAGTCTCAACAACACAAACACTTAATTGAACACTAGTAGCAGCTGTGCTCCTTTTCCCCCTAAATTGATCTGAACAGGATCAACTTAGATGAGTAACTAACTAAAATGAAACTTATTTCTAATGCTGGAATTGATCAGCACAGTTGGTGCGGCTTTTTACAAGTCTGAATTAATAACAATAATGTTAACAGGTAGGTAAATGTCTTACTCTCTAATAACCTTGATTTGAATTAAGATGGGTGAACATCGAGACGTATCAATTCATGACAGTTTAATTCAATGGTATTATGTTAAAGAAGTCCTTCAACAAAAGTAATATATCATCGAAAAATCTGATAACAGAGGTGAATTTGCTAGCTTATAGCTTAAGCTAATAAAGTTGGAAACTTATGGACAGCATGACTCTGACAAAGTCATACAACAAGCAACAACAGCGGTGGAATTATTACGAATCAACTAAGTATCTTTTACTCTCATTATTTCCTGAGTGAAATAGCGTGACTAAAGTAGTGTAATACAGCATCTGTCGATGAATTCAGGCTCAGTGCCACCAAAAACAAAAGTTTAATCAAGAATTCTTCGGTTATCTTCAAACCCAAAAGGCAGTAAACAGTTTACGAACACAGAGGTCGCCTATTGGTCTTCTCTCTTACCAGATCTTAAGTGTAATTACCACTAGTTTTGAAGAAAGTATACAGTAAATTGAACCCACTAGGTAGATTGGAATAACTTTGAACATACAATAAGTAGAAAAGATACTTGGGTGAATACTAATGAACGACCTCAAAATAAATCAAAACACCTGCTTAGTGCTCATTACTTTTCAAGTGTCTCCTAGTTTGTCAGTTCATCATGAGAACTATTTACTAACCAACCAGTTAACAGAAAACTATTCAGATAAAAGACTAGGAGTAAAAATACCTGATAGAGCAACCGTCTGCCAACGTCGATCATAGAAGGGCAAAGGTGGAACACCATTAACTAGTTCATAGAGTTTAAAAAGACTTGGACTTCGGATGGGTGAAAAAACACTCAAAGCGACTCCTCTCATCTTTAAATTCTTTAGTGGATACTCTAAAGAATCTAAATTCACGTCTTCTATTCCCAATTCTGTATATGATGATTCTGATTGCTTCAGTTGACTTATGTTGACTGGAGACATGGCTAGAAGGATTAAATGTCGTTGCACCTTTTTGCATAAACCACGTCTTGCTCGATCAATAGCATCAAATTCTCGCACTGCTGCTTGCAACAATTGATCACCTGGTGTACTTTCAGAAGGATTTAACTCTTCATTAGCATGACGTGCTTCATGTTGAATGGTTGCAACTCTTTTGAGAATCTTATAAATTATAGGAGTATCAGGGACTAAAATGGTTGTTTCCAAAGGTTTACGCCAGCAGTAACCATGAAGTGAGTACAGGGATGTATATGCCTAAAATTAGAAGACAATTTCATTATTTCAACTAAACATAAAGGGCGTCATGGAATAGATAAGAAAAAACAAAACAATATTTCAATCAACTATACAATTCTTTTGTTTCTCAAATGGAATACTATTTCCTTTGAAAAAATAAAAGTTTGTACAAGTTCCTTATGTTAAACATTAACCTTATCAGTTCACAGCAGTATACTTAATATATTTCCTTCAGCCTTGATTCTGTAGGTCACTCTTTTCTGTTAATAACCCTATTCATACATTCACAATTATATGGTTCTACTTCAGGAAACTAAAATGAGTCTTTTCGGAAATTATTAGACCCCCCATGCTGTTTTCATGAAAACGTAAATTTTAAACAAAGTGGAAAGTAATTATCTTATCATAGTTCTTCTTCACTAATTCTCAGTTTTGTTGTACATTACAGATAGTACTAATTCGGTGGTGTCTGCTTTTGTGAAAAATTGCAGCCAGTACTGGATATTTATCTCTAACGCTCAACGAAAATAAATGTGGATAGCATTATAGGGGGAAACAGCCATCCAAATTTCTTGAACTGAAAGTCTGCCTGCTCACTTGCTTCTACTTTTAGTCATCGTATAATATATACAAGTTGGCCACACCAACCAAAAGAACACTCCTCTGAGAGCTAAGTGTGGTTTAAATGGGTAAACTAATCTTTTGAAAAAATCAATTATAAAGATTAAGTAAGTAATGGCTTTATATTTTTTTCCAGCTTTATTATCATTATATATGAATCATTACGGTTTCGAAAGGATAGAACATCAGCTGACTAATAAGAAATAATCGACTTATTGAACATCACTGAATTTGCTCAGCCTATTAAACTATTAAGTGTACAGTAACAGGAACAACAAAGAAGTACCAATAAAATACGAGAAGGGGTAGAATAAATTAAAATATACTGAAGAGATAATAAAACTACTGATATGATTGAATAAAATAATTCTGATTATTCACTCTCACATCAGTAACATAAAATACGGTAATGAGTGGATCATGGCTGGTCAGAGAATCATTCATAACAATAATATAATAATACAAGACCAAAAATGAAATATCCATGTTAGCCTAAGATTTTCCCTATTTTCTCTTGAAATAATGGACAATGAAATAATGGAGTAACAATATACCAAAACTTATGTGATCTATACTTTATTAATAAATAATAAGGGGAGTAGTATCGATTCTTTTGTTTGTAATTTAACTGAAATCGTTAAAAATAGAGTTTACTGTGATAATAACAATCGTTTTACACAATAACAATATGTACAACAAAAATGTAACTTGTGTTACGCGCAGAGAGAAGTTATCAACGTAAGATTGAATGCAGAGGAGAAAAGACAATATGATCATAACGACCAGTAAATAATAAGATATTTTAAAGAATATGTTGTACTTCTTTTAAATTAATTATATCCACTTCTTCCCAACTATTAGGTAGTCCTATTAAATCTTTTGTTTCTGGATCAAACACCAATAGGTTTTTGAATAAATACTATTACAATAGATTACACATTCGCTTATCTAAACATGTGAGATCTGACAAGGCACTTTCATAACAACAGCAAGAAATGAGGAGCTTTATAAACACTTCCTACTCAGTATTTCGAAGTAGGTAGGATGCTCGTCAACCACGATTCCCAGCCGACAATGCTAAACTTCACATAGTCAGTAATAAGCCCAACAAAGAAGAAAGGTTGTGCGTGAGGCAAGCAACCCCACCCCGTAAAAAAAGGCAATACTACTACTGAAACTCCAAACCTGAAGCTTGAGGCTGTATGCTCCACTCCGAACATAAAGGAATGAAAAAAGTCTCTCCGCAAAAATTGTTGGTTGACAGTAAAAACGATAATAGGCTGATACGCCAACAATTCATAAGAAAACTGACAAACAGATAATCCATTTATATTGTGGAACTCACATCTCTTCCAAAATCAGCATTGAGTGGAGGACCGCCGTTTAAATTGCTGAAATTAAACAAAAGAATATGTACGATGCATAAAAAGTAGTATTCACTTCCATAGCTACGATAGGAATATTAGGAACAAAACAATATTGGTGTAAATACACAATTAGAAAGAAAAAGTATAACTTGAAACTTCACTTCAACACTAGCTTTACTCACCTAATTGAGTGGGAAGTGAGTTAGTTGCTTGTAGAATAACGAAGGTAGGAATGGGTGCAAAATTTACTTACGAAGTCATGGAATTTATAAGAAACTTCAGGGTATATCAAGTTTTTCCCGTTAATTGTTTACACGATAGCAGTAATCTTAGACAAATACTCTAGAAAAGTCCAGGAAGATATGTCAATACAGTCAACCTAACCCCACCATAATAATCATTTACGCAATAAGACATTGATACATAAAGAATTATTGAAACAGAAAACAGGGATCCATCGTCTGCTATTTTTCTGAAGTTTTAACATCATGACTTGTATACCGACTGTCTGGTGTTGCTAGCGAACTCAAGCATCAGTGTCACATCACTAGGTAGGTTGCCCAAAATAAAAACCCATACCATACATTCTGATCAGCAGTAAATATGACACCAATAAGGATAATGATAATTTATATAATCCTCAGGCCACTAGTTTGAACAACAAACGGAAGTTGAGAATTAACAAAAATCAAAGTATAAGCTAGTCTCTCCTACCAATCTCAGCTCTGAAAAATATATGTGTAAGTATAGGAGGACTAATCTAGAAGATCAGACTCATGGGTCTACTAGGATTGCCTTCCGAAATGTACATCACAGCAAATATCAAATCACTTGTTTATATTTCTAACCTATATTAGGAATACACAAATGAGACGACCGGTTGTAATGAAAGTCTGCACCTGAACAAAATTCTTTATTATCAGCATGCACTCTGGGCTGACACCTTTGAATTGCCTACTGCTTCACAAACATCCTAAGTGGACTACTAACAATAGACTGATTAGAATCCAACTTATTTGTAAGAGGATTTGTGAATTTTAAAGATAAGTGAGAAGTCACAAAACCATCAGAAACTTTGGGGGGGGGGGTGAATTTTTAAGAAAGTGAACCAGTTTATGTTTTAATGCATGTACACTGTCAAGTATTTTTTAAAATTTCCTTCTATGAATGACAGTATTTCTTCGACTAATTTTAGAAATGAAGGCAAAAGCGACATTAGTTATGACGACACGGAAAGGAACTGAACTCCAACTATTTACATGATATTTACAAATAGAATAGAGACCAGTGTTAATTTTCACCGGCATAACTTATCAAGCACTTTTATAGTTGAATAAAACAGCTAAGCCTTTACCTTGGTATCTTCGAAAGAAAACAATTATTGCAATATCTACTTACCTTAAAATTGGGCAAAGATATTGATCACGGAAGTACTTCATAAAGAGACTATCACAGTTGAAAGGTCGACATTGTTCAAGCAAAATTACACAATCCACTGGACACAACTCAGCAGCGTATGTTTTTATAGCCTGAACATATTCATTAATATGTGTTGTTGCTGTGTTATTACCCTCCAATCCAACATCAGTCACTAAACCTAAATCACTACATACAGACTTTTGGCTACCATGAGAATCTGGACATTTTAAGTTAGGATCATTCAGATCCAATGATGTCATAGACTTTGAAGAAGAAACTGAATTAACAGCATTCAAATCAGCCTCTCCTTTGGTAGATAATTCAGTATTTGGTGATGTTAAATCGATTGAATAGGATAAATCACTCATTACATTTCGACTCATCAAGTTATGTGAAACTTCAGGTGCAAACTCTCCAAATTTATCGCCACACTCGGTTTCTATGGAAAATTCATGAGGAAAGAACATAAGTGGTGAGGTTGAAGCCACTAATGCTTCAAGAGTTGATTTAGGGGCCTCAGTGTTGATGTCTGTGTACTTGACAGATGCCACTGGAGTACCATCGGGAGACGCAAGGATGCTATTTAAGTTTGAAGATAAATGTATCTCTTCAATCAAACGCTTTGGCGCTGACAGGGGGCGCATTAGAGGATCTTCACCTTCCAAGAAGGAAGTATGACAAAGCGCAGCAGAATGTGGACGCTTAATTCCCGCCCTTAATGTACTCTCTCTATTGAATGACTGATTTACGTTAAGCTCAGAAATGATATCATTGTCATACGCTTCATTAGTTTCCATTGTTGATGGCAATATCTTTGGAACAAAGAGCAGATCTGTACCGTCCTCATTATGCAGACCTGAGTCATTTATTTTATTATCCACAACAGGATTGAAAGATGATTCCTCTTTGAGTAGAGTGGACGATACAGGTGCATGACTGTCAGTTAAGAGTGACTCGTGCTTTTCAACAACAGGATTTTTATCACATTGACTTGACGACAGAAAGACTCCAGATGACAGACAAAATGCTGCAAGTCTTTTTCCAGGAAGTTTAACAGACTTATTGGATGCTGGTGTGCTAGACGGTCTAGCATAACTAACCAAGTGTGTATCTGTGTTGACTTCAGAGTTGCACGGAGAGTTTAATTCTTTATCATATATGCGGGATGGATGAGAAAATGGACGATGAGGTTGATTGAGACTGAAACTCCATGGTGAAGAGGAATCTGATGTTCCTTCAGTACAGAAATTATCATTTACTTGAGGTGGAAAGTCGTTTACACCTTTAGTTAAGGTATTCAAAATGTCTATCTCATTTAACATGCCGTATGCATTTTAAAGCAGCAAAGCAGCACCTACGAGAAACAAAATCCAAAAATTAAAAATACTTCAATCTTTCTGTGAAAGTGATTAAAGATTAATGGTACTGATACACGAATAAGAAATAAAGTCGCGAAATGTTTTCGCAATGAGTTGTTTGTTTGGAAGTTCAGTCTATTAAATGCAAGTTAACATTAAAACCCATCAGTTCCAATACATATAATGGGTCAATGACGATAAAACTCGATTTCCCCATTTTTTCAGTCTTCTTTGGGTCTGCATTTTGAATTTCACATATGTGAATTCCTCATTCTCCCTTATAAATATGTAACGAGAAAAGAGTCAGTGACTCCATCATACAGCTTTGTGATTACGTATTCGTGTTGACTGTCGTCCTGAATTACTCTGCCTTCCATACTTACTGTTAGGATTTACGCACTAAATTGGTCATTTATTAATCGCTTTGAAATTCTGTGGATCATTAGCAAAGTAATTCATCCAACGTACTGTGCAGATACCTTCCAGAGATAGAGGTATTAATGAAGTGTGTAAGCCATGAAGTAGGTAGAAGTTAACGTGAAATCTGTAACTATTATTTACTCGAATTTTCACACTTCAAATGAATATACAGATGAAGTCAGAGAATGAGAGGACAAAAACGGTATACTGATTTTGATGAGGATTTTAATGCGTCAAATCCGAAGCCAGTCAACACCAAGTCATAGGCTTCGTATCTTCTCGACCTAGAAATCCATGCAACTAATCTTACTCTAGTTAACACAACGCTTAATTAAGAATACATTTCAGAGAATCATCCTACAGGTGATACTAAAAAACATAATTACCGAAGGGTAAAAATATTGAAACCATCTTGAATACAACCACGGATGACCTGCAAATGTTCAACAATGTCACAATGTAAAATAAGTAGTGAAGAATAACCAAATTCCATATTGAGGTTTCAGTTACCCTACAGGCCAAAACAAGATTTCATTGAAAATATTTCTTTCCTGTCATAAACGACTCAAACAAACGATCATCTAAAAAATAAGAGCTGATGGCTGTGGGAATAACGATGCCCAGCCGCAAGATTCCTAACAGCAGAACGCGCTTCGACAGAATGTAGTAGTAAGAGAGAAATGCAAGAAACTTCGTGAAAAGAATAAACGAATAGGTTTCTGAAGACTATACATAGGTTTGCCGTCGAAACTGACCGACGCTTCTATCCCAAACAGATGCTTTCGGCTGAGATACATTAATTAGTTCCCAGTATCACCCTGTCTTGAGACGTTTATGATTGTGCACCCTCAGATAACCATTAACCCAGATGCATACTAACTAGAAAAATGGTATTAGAGCGTGAAAATAACTCTGCTGTTACGCGGAGTTGTGTATTCCCCTAAGTTACAGTATACGACATCGATAATGGAAGAAAACTGTTCAGGGACTAAGTAATTAGACGAAGACGAAATAATCGACTACAATTCGGCAACTGCATAAGAGAGGGTGTCAACTAATGACTGATTTTAGTTCATGTCACCTGTGATACTTCGTAAATTTTAAATAAACGGAAAAACAAAGTTGACGGTCTCACTAAGCAATTCAGAGTAACAACCAATGACTTGGTTTGTCGTTGGCAGCAGTCTCCAACAACAGACAGAACGACAGAAAATCTGCAAGATGCTTCGAATTACCCGAGTAGAACAACATGGTTGCTCCAAATACCACGTAATTCCTCTTAAAATTTATCGGTAACAAACACAGGAAGAAACTATTTTCGCTATCATTACGAATTAGGCTCTTCTTGTAACTCTATACAAAAGTCTGTTCAGCAGTCCTAATGCTGCTGATGATCACTAAAGGAGGGATAACAAGAACCTTTTCGTAGGAAGACGAGCCAACTAAGCTTGTCCGCTAACTTACAATGAAATGTTCCTCTGAACCCTTTATATACAATTCGGAAACAGAAAATGTGCAAAACAGGAGATTTCTGACTTACGTCCTATTTATTATTACAATCTTTAGGACTAAAATTTGTCTCCTGTGAAGTACAGTACTAGATGAAGCCACCATCCAACCAGTTGAATTTTGGACAGAATTCAACTTCCCCGCGATTGAAATACCCCACAAAAACAAATCCGAAGTATAACTGCAACTTTAAGTATGTTCTTTTATTGAAATTTGACATAAAAACAGTTTTTCCTGACAAACTGCTTGACTAGTACTTGTTTTCCAAGATTAACAATCCCTAATACTATGTTGTTAGGGTCATTCAAAATTCAATTCTCATCTTTCAATTGCACTTGTTAACTACAGAAATTACGATTCTCACTATCACACTTAAACGACATTACTAACTGAAATGAGTTCAGTTGCATGCTGTCCAGCAGCTCTGTTTTAAATCACTAGTATGAATACTTTGTGACTATTAGCCTCTAGATTCAGATTATAAGGATAGAAGGCTCTTGTTGCCTATGTTAATCCTCGAGATCCAGTTTCTCTTCGAAAGCGCCCACCGATAGAGCTGTTACTACTGAATCAGCTAAGGAGTTCCAGTCGTTGACCACTCTGTGAGAGAACCTAAACTGTTTGAAAGCTGTTTGAAAAAGGGAGTACTTTTTTCACATATTTCCACGTCTTAGACAAATCGCTGTTTTTGTTGTGTTATTCACTTCAAGAACAATTTTAAATACTTTAACTTGACTTTTGTCTGTTAAGTTTTGATTTTAACCACTTATATAATCTATATTGGGTAAATTATCTTGGCTGTTCCAGTAGAAGTTCATTATGTCAAAAGTACCACATAAATGCAATAGGGCGGAGTGTTACTTTTTGGTAGATGATGGAATACAGTGTAATAACTGTAAAAAGTGGTATCATAAGATGTGTACTGGATTACGTCCAGCTGCATACAAACGTTGTAGTGCTCCAACATCCCACTGGATGTGCAGAATGTGTTGCTCCCCAAAGATGACTTTAATACGGGAAGCTCACGAACTACTGTCTAAAGCCGTGGAACTTCCTGATGATAGCGTCGCTAGTAAGAGTGACACGGACTGCCCGTCTGAAGATGACGCAGCAAGTGCCATCATGAATGTTACCACACCGGTGGTTACTATCCCAGCTACCCCGGAAGTAAAACCTATTAGGCGTTCGAAGCGTCTTAGTAAGCGTAAAGGTAACAAAACAGAAGCTGCAAACAGCATCTCAGCACCAGAGAACACTGTAAGCGAAGTTCACCATGAAGGTGGTGCAGACACTGATCTTGATTGTACCATTAAAAACCGCAGCGGCCCTGAGAAGCAACTGCAGGCAGATGATCAGTGGATAACGAAAATGAGCAATCGGAAGAAACATAGTAATATTGATGGTAGGCAAACGTCTGTCACCTGTAGCCAGGCTGCATCAATAGTGGTGAGAAAAGACGTAGCCACTGCTAAACACGACAAGCTCTCCTTAGACTCTAACATAATTGTTGGAAATTTAGAAGAGTCCAGAGAATCTGATCCTGTAAAAAGGCACGATCATGACCTTAAATTACTGAGTAGTATTATAAGGAAGATGCTTCCAGCGGATTTCCCTGGAGTATCGATTAAAAAGCTGATTAGAATAGGTAAAAGAGATGATGAATGTTCTAATCAGCGTAGATTGCTTAAAGTAGTCTTAGGTTCCCCTGACGAACGGGATCATCTACTGGCTAATGTACACAACCTTGCCGGGTCAGGAATTTCAGTCAGACCTGATTTATCTCTTGAAGACAGACTTAAACGAAAAGAAGTTTTGTCCCAGCTAGGAACAAGACGTAAAAATGGTGAGACTAACCTTAAACTGGTGGGTTTTCAAATAGTCAGGTCTTGGAAACGTATGCTTCCAAGACCTGTGTGGATAAGCCGGACCGCATAGGAAGCCTGAAGGTAGTGTACACTAATATACGTAGTATCGGGAACAAATTTCATGAGCTAGGTGTATTAGTGGAAGACCTTAGCCCGAGTATTGTGGCCATTACTGAAACATGGCTGGTTTCTGGATTAGATGACACACCTGAGCTATGCGGATTTATTTGCTTGCTCAGCGACAGGGTTAAGGGTCGTAGAGGTGGCGGGGTTACTCTGTACATCAACAACTCCCTACATGTTCCTTCCGTGAAATCTGAAGCGCATGAGTGGTACAAGTGAGGTAATTAGCTGTGAAGTAAGCTTTGAAGCTGGCACTCTACTCATTGGAGTTCTGTATAGAAGTCCCTATTGTCAGTGTGATGACTTTATTTTAGATCACCTCAAACAATGGAGTAAACACAGTAGCTGTCTTATTCTAGGTGATTTTAATGCACCTCATATAGACTGGGTAGCTGTCACATCTCCAGGATCCGCTAATAAGTTTGACAACCGGTTACTCTTGACTACCATGGAAAATGCCCTGACACAACATGTCTTAGGTAGTACAAGATTCGGTTCTACCCAAGGATCTTCCTTGCTGGACTTGGTGCTTACTCATGACAACGACGACGTGGATGGTCTAGTTATTCATCCACCTCTAGCAAACAGTGATCATGGTGTGTTAGATTTTAACTTAAGGGCTGGCAATTTAGTCAGTTTTCAACCCAAATCCCAACCTAGTGTTTGGCATGCTGACATAGTCGCTATTAAGGAGCGTGCTTCAACTGCCGACTGGTCAGTCAATATTGTCTCATCCATTGAAGATGAATGGGATAGATTTAAGAATACACTTGAGAGGGTTACCACTGATTTCATTCCCTGGAGGGTTCCTAAAAGACCAGCAAATCGGCCACCATGGATAAATAGACAAGCCATAACACTCCTAAGACGGAGGAAAAGGTTCTGGAATCTCTTTGTTTCTACTGGGCTTCAGCAGTTCCGGGTGAAATACTGTGAAACCAGAAACCAGTGTAAAACTTTGATTCACCAGTCAAGGATAGCTTACGAAACCCAGTTATTTAAAAGTTCACCAGGCTGCCCAAAAAGACTCTTCTCATATATCAAGAGAAGAACACGTAAGAGTGATGCTATCCCACCTCTTATGCTTGAAGATGACCAGACAAACATGGCTGAGGATAACTTGACTAAGGCTGAGGCTTTGTCCAAGCACTTTGGTCAAGTATTCTCTGATAATATTGATACCAGCTTTGTAACTTTTCCAGAAGGTAACTTGAAAATGGCACCCTTATACATTGGAAAGGACACTGTCCTAAAGTGGCTTCTAAGGCTCAATCCTGGTAAGCCCAGTGGCCCTGATGAACTCCACCCATGTATATTAACAGCATTGGCTAAAAACATAGCCGAGCCATAGTCAGTAATCTTCAATATGTCTCTGGACCAGTCTAAATATCCAAGAGACTGGAAAGATGCCATCACTAGTCCGTTCTTCAAAGCCGGATCTAGAAACTTAGTTCAGAACTATCGTCCTGTTAGTTTGACCAGTATTGTTGTTAAACTACTAGAAAGAATAATTCGTGATACTATTGTAGCGGTAAATAATTCCCTCAAATTATTAACCACAGCAATCATCACTCAACATTCGATGCTGACCACCACTGTTTAAGTCGACTTGTTTAGCTGAAGGCTTCCGGTCAAGCATCCCCGCCATTTGGTACTCCGTCGTGTCACGTGCGTGCACGATTACTAGCTAGCTAAGCATTCACCTCTACCCGCGATTTTGTCCCGAAATATAATACGTACTTTGGACGACAAAATCTGGTCTTTTGCTTTACCATTTGGTACTCGAAGAACGAACACTATAGAAGTTGTTGGTATAAGATCTTGCGTTAGTATAATCCGTACAACTCGCGAACGTCGATACCGTCAACCTCTAAACTGGTGAGCTCGACCTGCAACCAACTTAACTGGTGAGCCCAACCACGAACTACGTCTTCAATTCACACGCAGATAAACCCGGTGAGTTCGTTCCTTTTTGTCTTTGTTCTTCTACTATATTTTTATCGGCATACTTTTCGTCATGACTGACCCTAGCCCCAAGGTTATTCGCATACGCTCAACCGCCAAAACAATCCAGCTAGTACCATATTGGCCAGATAATGCTGAAACGTGGTTTCAGATTACTGAGTCTGATTTTTGTGAACATGGCATAACCGATCAACGTTCACAGTTCCTTGCAGTTATTCACGCCCTACCGCGGGAATTCAGCAGGTGCGTAACTCTGCAGATGTCGGTAAGTAACTCGTACGAGTTGCTCAAAGCGTCCCTCCTCAAGAGAAACGTTCTCACGGATCGACAATGTCTGGATGAACTATTTCGTACCATCGAGTTAGGGGATCAGTCAGCCGTGAGCATGCTGGCAAGAATGAAAGAGATCATTGGTCAAAGTCAGTTCGATGAAGGACTGTTTAGAGAACTATTTTTATCCAAACTGCCACAGTCAGTTCAGACTGTACTTGTGACACTTCAGGGTGTTCTCATAGATGATTTAGCTGTCTCTGCAGATAGAATTCTAGAGATGACGAAACGGCCAGTCACCGAAGTATACTCTGTTACCGAACAGACTTCGAAGAAGGATTCTGCAATGATAGAGTTAATCAACTCCGTCCAGCAGATGCTTAGGTCAAACAAGCCTAGCAATTCCTCCTATCGTCGTTCTAAGTCCCCTCGACGGCAAAGCGCACGTGGACGACCTAAGTCCAACACACGCTCTCTCAAAAATCCTGACTGGTGTTAGTATCACAACTCCTATGGCAAGGAAGCGAAATGTTGTCGAAAACCTTGTGATTTCGGCAAAGCCTCCAAGTCTGTGGGAAACTATCCCGCCGGCACGCGTTAGCGGCAACCGTCGCCGGTGGCACTAGCCGCTTACTTTACATCCATGATGTGATGAGCCAGACTAGATATCTAGTCGACACAGGCGCCGAAGTCAGCGTCCTTCCTGCTACAGCAGCAGATCGACAGAAGGATCCTAACTTCAACTTACAGGCTGCAAATGGAAAACCAATTGCAACCTATGGTCGGAAATACGTCTATCTGAACGTAGGTTTACGCAAACCTATTCAGCGGATTTTCCTTATCGCTGACGTCACAATGCCCATCATTGGCACGGACCTACTTAATCATCATGATTTGCTCGTAGACATCCGCCGTAAACGACTA